CGCTTGTGTTTTGAGAGGTCTTCATATATTCTTGGCACTAGGCTTTTGTTGGATATGTGGTTGGCAGAGCTATCTTTCCTTCCAGTCTGTATACGGTCTCAGCTGTCCTTTCAGTCTCTTCACGGGTCCTTTGAGAGCCAGAGGTTTTCATTGTGATGAGACCCTCATCAGTTTTCGCTCATGGTTGTGGTGTCAAGTTTAAGAACTGTTGGCTTAACTGTAGAGCATAAAGATTTTCTCTTGTGTATTTTTCTAAAAGAGTTTTCTCGTTTTACATTTTACTGTAAGTTCACCATGTGTTTGGAGTGCATTTTTGTACAGGATGTGAGGTTTAGGTTGAGAGTTTGTCTGCTGCTCATGGATGCCCATTTGTGCCAATGCCACTTATTGAAATGCTATCATTTCGCCATTGAATTATTTTTGCGCCTCTGTCAGCAATCAGTTGTGCATTATTTGTGGGGGTCTGTTTCTGGGTTCTCCCCTTCAACTTTTTGTATAATAGTTTTAACATCCACTGACAATCTTGATTTCCTACCAGCCCCCAAAGGTGACCGGTAATGATTGTTTAATTATCATTGTAAACTCATGGATTCTTTTAAAACACATTTGATACGTCTTAATCCATTGTGGGAGTCCTGGTGTGGCACTGTAGGATAAGCACTGGACCAAAAAGTCAGTTTGAACCAAAGTCGGCTGTTCAAACTTGCCAGCCGCTCTTCGGAAACTCTATATAGGGTCACTATGAGTCGGCACAAACGCCACTTAATAACAACAACAGCAATCCATTATAGATACTGTTCTTTCAACATGGTGACTCACTTTGCCAATGGGAGGTTACTCATCGGCTTCTGAGCCCTTTTGACATCATGCGTGTGGTCTTTGACAGCTTCCGTGTCTGCAAATATAATTATGAAGATCACCCAGGCTCATCTTAAACATGGCCTGCTCCAGACCGGAAGTCAGGTAGCTCTCCATTACCTCAGTTCCTTTTAGTGGGAAATGATAGAGACTGCAATCTGGAGATTCACGAGCCAGCAGCTCTTAATAATTAGTACTTCTAGGACCTTTATTGAGAGAGGTAGAATAAATGAGGGAGCGTCGAAAAGTTCGTGGAACAATTCCATTATTTTTTCACTCCAGTTTTCCATGAACTTTTTGAAGCCCCTTCATGTACACAGTTATGTTGTAGAAAAGCAAAAATACATCATGAGTATATTTTCAATTCAAAATGAAAGATAATGTCCTTAGTTAAACTTAATGATTTTTCATTTGTATGGCTTCTGTTAGAAATAAGGCCCCCTAGTGATGCTGTAGAATAAGCACTAGACTACGAACCTCAAGGTTGTCAGTTCAAACTTACTAGCCGCCTCCATGGGAGAAAGATGAGCCTTTCTGCTCCTATAAAGATTACAGCCAGAAACCCCCTATACAGGGTCGTGGTGAGTCGGAAGTGACTCAGTGGCAGTGGTTTCGGGATGTTTGTTTTTTCTTGGTTTATGCAGCAAAACATCATGGTTCTGGTGACAGTAACTTAATTACTCATTTGATAGGTAAGGATTTGGAGGGCGTGTTCTGCCGTTTGATATCCAAGATACTCTGTTGTGATACAATCCTATGGGGACAGTTTTAAGACTGGCTCACTTGGAAGCTTTTTTGAAAAATTATATTCGTTGTTTTAACTGTAGATTATATTGATTTAAATAGGTACAGCCCACGTTTGATGGAAAAAATTCTCCAAATGGCTGAAGGTATTGATATTGGGGAGATGCCTTCATATGATCTGATGCTATCAAAACCTTCCAAAGGTCAAAAACGCCACCTCTCAACATGTGACGGTGAGTATATTTGTTTCTGAACGGTGGGATTTGAAGAAACATGAATTTTTTTTTTTAATACGGTTTTAAAATAACACTAGGTTTTGCATAGATATAAAAGAATTTTAGTTTTCAGTTATTTACCTTTATTTTTTCCTGAGACTGCTAAGTAGGACTGAAAACTACTAAAGTCAGGCTATAATGCTGTGCTTAAAGTCTATGCCATGGTACTGAACACCTTGTACTGCAATCATCTGATTATCTAGGTAACCAAATCCTCTTGGATGGGTCCAGGATGGACCAGCTTTCTACTGAACGGTGTCAGTAAGGAGAAAGCTCTAGTGTAGTGTCTGATACAGCTTCAACCGAGAGCTTTCAATTTGAGATCCCCCATAACTTCATCAATTTCTATCTGTTCTTTCCTCTAGAAATAAAATATAGCAAGCACCCTTCTGCGCAGAAGAGGTCAGGACTAAGAATTGGAGGTTGAAACTTTGGGGGATCTTTCAGTAATTCTTCTGTTTGGTTTTTTTTTTAGTCACAGCTAACTCGATAAAACACCATTGTAGAGTCACTCCCCTTTGATCCTAAAGAGAAAGGTTTGTGAGTGCCTCTGTATTGCATTAGAGCCGGCTGTTCCATATGCAAGCCCTCAGTGTGCTTTTTCAGCACAGGTGCAATGAGATGATACAGGAACAGCCTTCCTTGCTCAGAGTACATTTTACCTGGGTTTTAACAGCAGTCAGGCGTGATGGTGACTTGCACACCTGATTCAGTGGTGTGTTTCTTAACAGGAGCCTTCCCTTACATGTGAAAGGACAGGGAGCAGCCCTCCTTAAAGCTGGGACCTTCCATTGATATTTGAGTCCCTTCACCTAAATGACCAGAAGGTTTGGTGACGGGGAAGTATGCTGTACCAACAATGTAGCTGGCATAGAATTTGGTTGGTACTATTTTCCTGCTTGACTCTTTTGAAATATTCCCTTTTTAATGAATTGTAAATTTCACTCATTCTATAGGTCAAAATCCTCCTAAAAAGCCAGCTGGTTCCAAATTCCATGCGAGACCTCGTTTTGAGCCTGTACATTTTGTAGCTAGTAGTTCAAATGATGAAAGACAGCAAGATCCTTATGGCCCTCAAACAAAAGAGCTCAAGGAACAAACACATTTTGTCAGCATGCCAAGCGACACCTACCAAGATTACACTCAGGACTCTTTCAGTATACATGATGGGAATTCTCAGTATTGTGACTCCTCCGGATTTATCTTCACAAAAGACCAGTCTGTAACAGCCAACATGCAATTTGATAGTGGAAGCCCTAGCCCGAGCAGCACATCACAGCAGTCAAACTCTCTCTCACCTCCCCAGCATTCCCCATCACAGACATTTCCTGACTCGGTGGTCGCCGAGAAGCAGTATTTTATTGAGAAACTCACAGCGACTATCTGGAAGAACCTTTCTAATCCTGAGATGACTTCTGGCTCTGATAAGATTAATTACACATATATGTTAACTCGTTGTATCCAGGCTTGTAAGACAAACCCTGAGTATATATACGCCCCTCTGAAAGAAATCCCTCCTGCTGACATCCCTAAAAATAAGAAACTGCTAATAGATGGTTACGCTTGTGAAGTCAGATGCCAAAATATCTACTTAACCACAGGTTATGCTGGCAGCAAGAATGGGTCCAGGGATCGAGCTACTGAGCTAGCTGTGAAACTCTTACAGAAGCGTATTGAAGTTAGAGTTATCCAGCGGAAGTTCAAGCACATCATTGGAGAGGACCTTGTGGTGTGTCAGATTGGCATGCCTTCGTATGACTTTCCCCCGGCTCTGAAGCCACCAGAAGAGCTGGTGGTACTGGCTAAAGATGCTTCTGGACAGCCCATTTTTAATGCTTCTGCCAAACATTGGACTAATTTTGTCCTCACGGAAAATGCAAACGACGCAATTGGCATTCTTAACAATTCTGCCTCGTACAACAAAATGTCTGTTGAATACAAATACGAGATGATGCCAAATCGCACGTGGCGTTGTCGAGTGTTCTTGCAAGATCACTGTTTAGCTGAAGGTTATGGAACCAAAAAAACAAGTAAACATGCAGCTGCTGATGAGGCTTTGAAGATTCTTCAGAAAACACAGCCCACTTATCCATCTGTCAAAAGTTCACAGTGCCAGCCAGGCTCTTCACCCAGGGGATCTGGGAAGAAGAAAGACATAAAGGACCTCGTAGTGTACGAGAATTCTTCCAATCCTGTGTGCACACTGAACGATACAGCTCAGTTTAACCGGATGACAGTTGAATACGTCTATGAAAGAATGACAGGCCTCCGATGGAAATGCAAGGTGATTCTAGAGAGTGAAGTCATTGCTGAAGCTGTTGGGGTGAAGAAAACTGTCAAGTATGAAGCTGCTGGAGAAGCTGTGAAAACCCTCAAGAAGACCCAGCCAACTGTCATTAACAACTTGAAGAAAGGAGCTATTGAAGATGTGATTTCCCGAAATGAAATCCAGGGCCGCTCAGCAGAGGAGGCTTACAAACAGCAAATCAAAGAAGATAACATCGGAAACCAGCTGCTGAGAAAGATGGGTTGGACAGGGGGTGGGCTAGGTAAATCTGGCGAGGGCATACGGGAGCCTATCTCAGTTAAAGAGCAGCATAAGCGAGAAGGGCTTGGTCTTGATGTAGAGAGAGTAAATAAAATTGCCAAACGAGATATTGAACAGATCATCAGAAACTACGCGCGTTCTGAGAGCCACACAGACTTGACTTTCTCTACAGAGCTGACTAATGATGAGCGGAAGCAAATACACCAGATTGCCCAGAAGTATGGTCTGAAGAGTAAGTCTCATGGGGTGGGCCATGATAGGTACCTAGTGGTAGGTAGGAAAAGGCGGAAGGAAGACCTGCTGGATCAGCTGAAACAGGAAGGCCAGGTGGGGCATTACGAGCTTGTAATGCCTCAAGCAAATTGAGTTCTTACTAATTTATTTTGTAAATGCCTATTGAGACCGGCTTCTAAACTAAAGAAAGAGATACTACATTTTTCTGGTTGCAGAGTATATTCATTAAAATGTCTCACCCTGTGCATTTCATATAGTGCTTTATTGGATATCGGAACCTGGAGAATTCTGTCCACTTGTATTAGCTTACCCCAGATGATGTTGTGCAGTTACTGTTTGTGTCTTTGATAATTGCTGTGTCCCTTGGATTTTAGTAGTTTGATCAAGCCAGAACACATATCCAAATGAAATTTTACTCTGAGAAATTCTCATTCTAAAGGGCATATATAGCGCAGCAATGTGCCACAATCTGTAAAGTTGATACTGCCTACAGTAAAACTATAGTCCTCCCTCCAGTGTTACGGAGAAAGTCAGATCATTTTGTAATATCTCTTTTCATCTCTGTGTGAAGCTAGCTCTAGAATGTTCCACAGTGAATTGTGCTGTACGTGTAAATGTCCTTACCAACTAAATGATGTAAAGCTTTCTTAAAGTAATTTTAGTGTTCATTTATTTATAACTTCTACCATGTGATTTCCAGACTATTGGTGTGATTTACTGTATCTTGTGATCTATGGGTTTTAACAAATTCTAGTCTTCATGCTGAGAGAGCACTACTTGAGAGAGCAATTGAAAGGAGTCAGAACCGGATCGCATCTGAAGAAAGGAAACGTGAACTGTTTGTTCTTGGTGCCTTGCAGAGAGGCTCCCAGCGACTCTCCATTCTAGCTTTCATATGGCTTGGATGTGCAGCACATCCAAGGCAACCACGGCTATGGTCAAGCTTGGTGTAAAAAGACTGGTGATACATTGGTGCTTTGATGAAAAGGTCTGTTGGCTGGTCCCTCTCTCAAAAAGCTTACTAAGCCTCCAAAGCCAACTTTGTAACATATTTAAAACTGCTATTTTCGCTGATTTCTGGGATGTACAAAAATGTATAAAAAGAATTTAGTGTGTGCTTCTAGAATAAAAGGAGCCCAAGTTGATGAAAATGGTAGTGTGCTTATTTCTGTGAAGACACCTGGGGGTCTTTGGAGAAGGGAAGTACAGGCAGTTCCTCAGATTACAGTACACACTAGTCCGAAGTGTGTCTTTCCGTCGGATTTGTAGATAAGTTGCAACAGGTTCTTATTTAGCCTTACTTGAGGGATTTAAAAGCTGCACTTGCCTCACGTAAAGGTGATTGTGATGAAGAATGTGTTGCCAGAAGGGATTGGTTAGTAAGGGCAAATTTACATAACCTTAAAGGGCAGTAGGTGGTTGTTGTTAAGTGCAGTGGAGTCCAGTTGGTTCCAACTCATAATGACACTGTACAGGGTTTCTGAGGAGTGGCTGGTGAGTTTGAACTACCAACCTTGAGGTCAAGTGCTTAACCTAATGGCGCCAAACCAGGACTCCAATAAAGGGCAGTAGGTGTTGTCAGTAAGTCAGGACATTCCTAAACCAGGGCACTTGTGGAGGAACATGTCTTAGCAGATAGCAATCCATCCGTTTTACTATGGGCCAGCATGCTGACTACAGCCAAATCTTTGGCTGTTCAGTTTTACATGATTATGTTTTTCCATCTCAGATAAATCAAGTATGACTTTACCTGTAACAGCTTAGATGAATATTAATACTGACAGTTAAACATCTGCAGTGGGATACTGTTCAGGGCAGTGTCTAAGCCATTTAGCACCTGAATTGATGAGGGATTGGTCACAATAAACCGTACTTTTCCTTGTGGTGGTTGTTAAGTGCAGTTCCAACTCCTAGTGACCCCGTATAGAGCTTCGGAGGAGTGGCTGGTGAGTTTGAACCGCCGATCTTGTAATCTAGTGCTTATCCTACAGCATCACACCAGGACTCCTTTTCTTATATATACTTAAAATGTATATATTAACATTTGTATTTAATCCATAGATTATTAAGACTGTAGCTAAGGCAATGCTTTTTTCATTGTAAAGTTATAACTTCGCACCTAGATTATTTGTTTTCCACCACCTCCCTCCCTATAGTGTATGGCCTTATATTAGGAAGAAAAACAAGGTGTGCATTTCATTTTGACAAACTCAATACTTTCACAGTGGCAAAGGGAGCAAAGCTAGTTTTTCTAAATTTTATAGGATTAAAAAAAAATTTTTTTTTTTTAACCTGTAAGGTTCATGCCAGCCCTGAGAACCTTTTGTTCAATTGTTAGTGCCATTGAGTTGATTCCAACTCATAGCAACCCTGTGTACAACAGAACGCACCGCTGACCAACCTGTGCCATCCTCGCAATCATTGCTGTGTTTGAGGCCATTGTTACAGCCACTGTGTCGTCATTTTGCTGAGCCTCTGCTTTACCAAGCATGATGTCCTTCTCCAGAGACTGGTCCCTCCTGATGGCATGTCCTATGTATGTGAGACAGAATCGCCCCATCCTGGCTTCTATGATGATTTATTCCGTGAATTACAACAGCCAGTCTTCAATTCTCTGAGCAAGAGTGCCTTTAGGGAATTATTGTTGTTGTTGTTAAGTGCCATTGAGTTGGTTCTGACTCATAGCAACCCTGTATCGAGTTTCCAAGCAGCAGCTGGTGGGTTTGAACTGCCAGCCTTGTGGTTCAAACCGACGTTGCGGTCCAGTGCATTATCCTGCAGTGCTATACCAGGACTTCACCTCTAGGGGTTAAGGGACATTGCCTTTTCCCAAAATGATGAGTTGGTTTTGTTTGTTTTGGGTGGGGGCAAGGTAAGGTAAGGAAATGGTATATATAATTCTGGCTTGGTTAGATGAGTCCAACATATTAATGAATTAACAGTTAAGGCTCCCAAATAACTGAGCCAAGTATATACAAATATGGTTCCTGGATTCAAAGAGTCTAGTTTCCTAACTTCTTAGGTCAACTTTGGGACTGGTCCAGAATTAAGGCAGTTACTTTAACTACTTGGAAATAAAGTATGTTGAGAAATGGGGTTGATAAGAATGAGCTGCTGACAACCTTGCTTTTCTATTTGCTCCTTTGAATTGGTTCCTATAGTTTCTCTTTGAAATAGACATTTTTAACCCATAGTAACCTTGCTATGGACTCCTGGTGTGGCACTGTAGGATCAGCACTGGACTGTGAACCACAAGGTTGTCGGTTCAAACCCTATACAAGGTCATTGTGAGTCAGAACTGACTCGATAGTACCTAACGACAACGTTGCTATATAGGAGTCCTGCAGGATAAGCACTGGACTGTAACTACCAAGGTTGGTAGTTCAAACCCACCAGCCGCTCCTCGGAAAACCTACATAGGGTCCCTGTGAGTGGGAACCAACTCGATGGCACTTACCAATTACAGCCACCTTGCTATAAAGCCTACAAGTAAATGGGAAATTTCAAGTTTGGTTTTAATTACTTAAATATATAATAATACTGAGGAACTAGCTGTGCCTTCAGTTAAATATAGCATTGAGCCTCAGGAATCTACTTTTCAGAATTTTTTTCCTCCCCTTTGGTTGCAAAATGAATGGAAATTTTATGCATTCTGTTGGAATCCTTTTTTTAGTAGTATACAATGCATTCCCTTTGCTATGAGTAACCCCTGAAGCTGGAGATGGGCCCTAAATAAAGGACTCTAATTACAACTTTGGTTCGTCATCAAACCCCCTTCCTCACATCAGCAGGTACTTGAAGACTCAAGTTCAAATCTGCCTGCCATTTGAAAAGGGACCTCTCAAATCCATTTTAATTTACTTTGTTATAATTACATTCAGGCAGCCTGTAGTATTTTTTTAAAAAAAGGCAAAAGCATTAAGTGTTCAAATGGTTCGTGATGTTTCTGGGGTGTCAGCTTGTTGGCTCTCTGTTAAAAAGTTTTAAAAGGATTCTCCTTGTGAAAGTGTTTGGAAATGGTATATCTCAGGAGGCGTATAAAAGAAAAAGGTTTTAAATCTGTCCATTCTGTAAGCGCACCTTAAATATTTTTCTATGCTTGACAATATCAAAATATTTAAGATACCTGTCCACTGATGTTAAGTAAGTCGGTTCCAACTCATAGCGACCCTTTATAGGGTTTCCAAGGAGCTGCTGGTGGGTTTGAACCACCAACCTTGCTGTTAGCAGTCCAGGGCTGACCCTACAGCGCCACACCAGGACTCCTCCAGGACTCCTCCTGGCCACAGTGGTGGTGTTGTGATGTGCCACGGAGTCGGTTCCGACTCAGCGACCCTGTTTGTACAGGGTTTCCGAGACTGTAAATCTTTATGGGAGCAGAAAGTCTCATCTTTCTCCCGCGGAACAGTTTCGAACTGCTGACTATAAGATTAGCAGCCTGATTCATAACCACTACGCTACTACATACAGTAGGATTAAAAAAAAAAAATCATTTAAAACTAATCCACCCAGTACAGACCAAGCTGATGTGGTTCAACTTTGAAGCAAACATGGGATTGAGAAAAAAATACTTTCTCCTACATGCAACAAGCCAATTAATGTATTCAACGTAGACTGAACCCCGCCACCCATCAGTTGAAAAGTCAAGTACTGTGTATTAAAGAATAAGTGGGGTACATGCACCATTAAGGATTTAGCTTAATTTTAGTAAGCCTCCCAGGAATATGTGATAGTTTTCAGTCACTGTGCTTTTTGCTTTAAAACAAGATGGGCGTTCCTCAGAAGAAAGTTTTGTTTAAACAAGGTGATTAAGTACACCTGTATACACTCCCAAACTTTACACAGGATTTAAAACACAGTTTGTAATCGTTTGGCACTGTTTTTTAAGCTAGGGCTTTTTTAAGAGGTGGAATGTCAGGAACCAGTTAAATCTTGATGTCTGAGGGCTCTGGTAAATATCCAGGTTTGTTTATTCCTCCCTTATCACAACTTCAGTCCCTGGATCAATCCTAATATATATTTAAGTAGGTTTTTTTGTTGTTTTATTTCAGAGTTTTTATATTCTGTTAAAATGTCTAAAAGGAAGTGTTAACACAACAGAAAAGGGAAAAAAACAGGTTCTTTCCAATGTACTTTTTACTCCCAGAATTTTTTTTAGTTCATGCTTAAGGGGGAAGGGAAATGAGTATTATACTTGACTACAAAATTTTAAGGTTATTTTTATTTACAACTTTTGAAAAATGTACATTTTTTTTACATGGGTTACTTGTGCAAAGTTAGATGGAGAAGAGTGAAAAATGCACAAAAGCTGATGATGGAACATTAGACAAAACATTTACAAGCTTTGACCCACACTGCTACTTAAAGGTGCTAACAAAAGAATAAATATTCAAAGGAAAACTACAGACACTGACTTCAAGAGCCTCAGAATGCTGAAAGGAGAAACGAAAGCATGCAACATTAACTCAGGCTTTGAGTGGGAAATGGTTTGCCACAGATAGGCTCCCTTCCTTGGGGTTAAATCAAACTGCAAAAATATGGGGGATGGGATGCTTGCTTCTCTAGGACAGTACTGCTCCTTTAAGAAGGTGAAGGCTCTCCAACTTTCCCTGGCTTAAAAACCGAATGGTACTTCCCATTCCTCTGATCCCACAGATTGCAGTATTCTGAAGCTTCGCATGGGCTGTACAGCAATAGCACACAATTCCAGAAGAGATTGTGTCAGTCCCTACAATTGCTGCACTCCTTTGGCTGAGCCCTTTAACATTCTCTCTCCTCCCATAGAATCCCTATTTGATTTTAGGATTAGATGTCAGGATTTTTGACTCCATTTGCTCTCTCAATATGGATGTTTATATGGATTTGTTTCCACATTTGCTGTAGGCCATATTCCAAATACATTCACTTCTAAATCCAACACAAATGAAAGATGAAATACTTCAGCAATTATTTTGCTAAAAACAGTATCCTGGTCGCCAGCCTACTCCTAAGCACCACTTGGATGACAACACATTTTAAACGCTTAAGAGTAAGGTTAATACAATATTGCCCTAAGACTGGAAATGAAATACCACAGAAAAGGAAGTAAGCATTAGTTGTTTTTGCAAGTAACCCAGGTACAGTACATCGGAATTAACAGAGGGTGT